TTAGATTAGTAACATCAAAATCTTAAGGATTAACAGTACATTAAAATATGGAAAGTGTTTGAAGGCATGAAATCAGTTAGGAAGCAAATATGTAAGCGATACAAGAATTCACTTACCACATTTTGTTTTTTATTTTATGGGTACGAATGTCTTCCTGCATGTAAGTACACCATATGTGTGCAGTACCCATTAAGGCCAGAAGAGGGCAATGAATCCTATGGAACTGGAGTTACAGATGGCTGTGAGCCACCACGTGGGTGTGGGAATCAAAACTGGGTCCTCTGCAAGAGCACAAGTGCTCAAAACCACTGAGCCTGAGCCATCTCTCCAGCCCTTCATTTAGCTACTCTTTTTTTTTTTCTTTTTCTTTTTTTTTTTTTTTTTTTTTTTTTTTTTTTTTTTTTTGGTGTTTTTTAGATAGGGTCTCCCTGTAGCCCTAGCTGGCCTGGAACTCACTTATGTAGCCCAGGCTGGCCTTGAACTCACAAAAATCTGCCTGGGAGATCTGGGATTAAGTGCTGGAATTAAAGGCATGTGCCACCATGCCTGGCCCTCACTTTATTCACTTTTAATGACTACAGAGACCAGTGAGAAATGAGTGGAGACTAAGAATAAAACAGTGTGGTGATCAAGAAGCCAAATAGGAAAAACAAAGTTGGGGGATGGAGAGATGGCTCAGTGGTTAAGAGCACTGGCTGCTCTTGGACAGGATCTGTTTGGTTCCCAAACCCACATGGCAGCTAACAACCATCCAAAATGCCAGTTCCAGGGAAATCTGATGCCCTCTTCTGACTTCCATGGACATTGAACAACAGAGGTGCACCTACATACACACAGGCAATAAACTCATACACATAAAATAAAAATAAGTAAAATAAATAAATAAATAAATAAAAATGAATAAAAGGTTTTTAAAAAGAAAAGTTGTTTCCAAAAAGATGAAAGTTGGGCCGGAGAGATGGCTCAGTGGTTAAGAACACTGACTGTTCTTGCAGAAGACCTGGGTTTGAATCCCAACACCCACATGGCAGCTAACAACTGTCCATAACTCCAGTGCCAGGGGATCTGACATCCTCCTCTGTCCTCCACAGGCATTGCACAACATGGGTGCACTTACCTACATGCAGGCAATACACATAAAAATAATAAATTAAAAAAATATATAAAAAAGATGAAAGTTTTCAACCGAGACATGTACTGCTGATTGGTCAAGTACTTGAGAACTGAGAAGTCTATTTGCTTAACAACGTGATATTACTACTTAGCTTATGAATACAAGTTGTAGTGGCATAGTGGAGGTGGAAAGATAGTAAAGTTCATGAGGTAACAGAAGGAAACACATTGTAGACAATTATCTAAAAAAATTTACTCAGGGCTGGGGATATATATTAGTGGTAGAGTGCTTACATAGCATATGTGACACTCTGGATTCACAATTCAGCACAAGAAAGGAAGAAAGGGAGAGAGAGAGGAAGTGAGGGAAGAAAAGACTGAACAATGTATATAGCCACCAAACTCGACATTTTTCTCACTTTTTCCATGAAAATTTACTTGTCACAGTTTATCACTTTGTATATTAAAATGTCATACAGTTTTTAAGATATTTAAAAATTACTGACTGCCGGGTGTGGTGGTGCACGCTTTTTTTTTTTTTCATTACATCAGCACTGATATACTCAATAACAATTTTCTGAGCTAGGATGCATCTCTTTCAAAACTGGCTGTACATTTTTAGATTTACAGTTGAATTATTGCAGTTCTACAATATTGTACTCAGTATAAATCCTATAACACATGAAATTAAATGAGGTTTTAACCTTTAAAAAGATCTCCATTTCATTATTAAAATACAGTTTCATACAGAAAAATTCATTTTTAATGCAATTGACATTAAGATGTTTGCACATGCGTTTCTAATCTCTATATATCAGATTATTGCTAGTCACAGTCAGTTACTTTCTGAGCTCCTTGGCATCTGAGCATGGTTATAAAGATGTCAGAGATAACGTTTTTCACATCTACTAATTATTAAGGAGCAAATTTTTTAAATTATTTATTTAATAACCATATAATTAGCAGAAGCATTTCATTACAACAGCATTGACATATTCAATCACACTTTCCAGAGCTAGGATGCATCTCTTTCAAAATTGGCTGTAAATTTTTAGGTTTACAGTTGAATTGATACAGTAATACAATATTGTACTCCATATAGCCCCTATAAGACATAAAATGAAATGAAGTTTTAAACTTTGAAAAAGATCTCCATTTCATTATTAAAATAGTTTCATACAGAAAAATTAATACAATTGACACTACGATGCACATGTGTTTCTAATCTTTTTATATCTGATTATTACTAGTCATAA